GTCCTCTTTTGGAAGACCAAACAAAGTAGTTTCGCTTTCACAGCGAAGCACACAGCGTCTTCACGACATGGCGGCGCCAACAACAATACTACAGCAAGAATAAAAGTTACGCCTTCTTTCTTTGCGTGAACATGGGCGCCGCGTTATGCAAATCTTTCCACATCGTGACATAGACGTGGGGGCGTGTTAGAACGAGCTGTTTTAGATAGGCGTGGCTGACTCTGAACTTTTATAAAGAATATCTCTTTGGATTTGAGACTTTAGTCTTTGCAACTTTACAGATCTTCTTTATGCACCAAGAGCTTGTGACACTCCAAAGAGAAAGGAAAAATTGAAATCACATCATATGACCCCTTTAACAAAGCTTCTATCCACCTTTTTCTTGTCGTAAAAATGGGCACGGCCATTTGTAAATTCTATGGGTCTGGCTTCCGGTCTCATCTGCGTCCACTCCGTCCAGCTATTTTTAGCTGAACAAAACAGTTCGTTTTGCTGCTTGATATTGAAAGTTGGTGTGTCTTATCATATTATTTTAATGTATTATCTTAATTATGAACACACTGGTTTGTAGTGCAAACAGTTTTACCGTTTACTGCACGTTGTTATTCTCCTCGTTATTTACCTATAGCGGCTAATGAACCGGAAGTCTCACCCATAGGCTTACTTCCGCGTTGAAGAAAAAGAAAATGCAACTCATTAACCTGATCTCTGTTATTTTCTGCTAATCAGGGTTCAGTTGAATTTTCACGTTTGTTCTCCTTGAACTACTTACTATGTTTATTTTAGACCAGAAAGAAGTGAAAGAGCAAAGACGAGAGCTGACTGAAGGGGAGGAGGAACACAGTGACTTCAGAACTCGAAGATTAAAAACCAAAAAGGTGCACACCTGCTCACATTCAGCTGACTGTTCATTGATGGAAGATTGTAAACGGCACCAGAAAACACATAATGATGTGAGAGATCATGTGTGTCGTGAGTGTGGGAAGAGCTTTACTACAGCTGGCCACCTGAAGCAGCACCAAAGAGTTCACACTGGAGAGAAACCTCACAAGTGCTCATATTGTGACAAGAGTTTCACTGAGTCTGTAGACCTGAAAAGGCATGAGCGAGTTCATACTGGAGAGAAGCCGTACCACTGTACTCAGTGTGGAAAGAGTTATAGATATAAAAATGATCTCAACCGTCACCTGCTCGTTCACTCTGGAGTAAAGCCATTTACCTGTGATCAGTGTGGTACAGATTTTAAATCATCAGTACATCTAAAAAACCACATGAGAATTCACACAAATGAGAGGCCTTTTGCATGTTCATTTTGTGGAAAGTGTTTTGCTCGGCTGGATCATTGTAAACGGCACCAGAAAACACACACTGGTGAGAAAGATCATGTGTGTCGTGAGTGTGGGAAGAGCTTTAGTAGAGCTGACACTCTGAAACAGCACCAAAGAGTTCATACTGGAGAGAAACCTTACAAGTGCTCACATTGTGACAAGAGTTTCACTCGGTCTGTAGAACTGAAAAGGCATGAGCGAGTTCATACTGGAGAGAAGCCGTACTACTGCCCTCCCTGTGAGAAGAGTTTCAGATGTTTAAGAAGCCTTAAAAATCACTTGAAAAAATGTCTCGCATCGTCACAGTGAGCAACATTTTCATATTAAAACAGTTGAGTAAGCTGTGTGAGATAAACAAATATGAAGTTGCTCCCAAAAGCACAGCAGCATCTAGTTTGATTCTGTGAATTTTGACTCGTTTGCAGTCTGATTGAGGAACTATAAAGTTTGAAGTTGTTTGAAGTTTCACCAAGTTAATAGTGTGGTACAGATTTTAAATCATCAGTACATCTAAAAAACCACATGAGAATTCACACAAATGAGAGGCCTTTTGCATGTTCATTTTGTGGAAAGTGTTTTGCTCGGCTGGATCATTGTAAACGGCACCAGAAAACACACACTGGTGAGAAAGATCATGTGTGTCGTGAGTGTGGGAAGAGCTTTAGTAGAGCTGACACTCTGAAACAGCACCAAAGAGTTCATACTGGAGAGAAACCTTACAAGTGCTCACATTGTGACAAGAGTTTCACTCGGTCTGTAGAACTGAAAAGGCATGAGCGAGTTCATACTGGAGAGAAGCCGTACTACTGCCCTCCCTGTGAGAAGAGTTTCAGATGTTTAAGAAGCCTTAAAAATCACTTGAAAAAATGTCTCGCATCGTCACAGTGAGCAACATTTTCATATTAAAACAGTTGAGTAAGCTGTGTGAGATAAACAAATATGAAGTTGCTCCCAAAAGCACAGCAGCATCTAGTTTGATTCTGTGAATTTTGACTCGTTTGCAGTCTGATTGAGGAACTATAAAGTTTGAAGTTGTTTGAAGTTTCACCAAGTTAATAACTTACCGTGTAAATAATAATTTGCATCTTTCCTACCGTAATTAGTTTGTAAAATGTGTCTGGGTTGTGTGCTAAGCAAGTCTTTCTTTAATAAGACACGTTCATGTCATGTACTTGTTTTCTATATTATGCTCTGATTGTACATGAGTTGGAAAATATTAATCAGTAAACTAGCTGACAAAAAGTAAATCTGATTGTTTTCTTTATTTACAGATGGTTTAAAAAGTCAGTTCAATTTCAAGACAACAATCATTGCTGTATAGTTTGCTTTGGATAATGCAAGTTCAATGACAAAACATGTATCATCTGAAACACCAGATTCTTTTCTTTAATTATATTTAACTTATCTACACAAATTTTCAATTTCAGTATAAAAACACTATATTGTACAAATAGGCTGTACCGGTGGTCAATAAGAATAAAGGACAGATATGTTGTTCTGAAAGGATGTCGGGAACGGGATATTAGACCGCCCGCTCCCGTTCAAATTACACTAGAGTTACCAACAGTGTTGGGGGTAATGCATTACAAGTAACGCGAGTTATGTAATCAGATTACTTTTTTCAAGTAACTAGTAAAATAATGTATTCCTTTTTAATTTACAAGAGAATATCTGAGTTACTTTTTCAAATAAGTAACGCAAGTTACTTTTTTTTCCAATTGATTGATTGACAGCTCTCCTGTCCCCGTGTTGAGAGAAATCAGAAGATGTTACTGTAGTTCTAAAATAAATATGAATATGCATTAATTAATCTCACTCACAAAAAAAAAACATTCAGTATTCCTCAAAATGAATAAAAATAATGCAATATGACGCAAACCTGCAATAATTAAATGTTAAACAACACAAATATACTTTATGTATTTAAAGGTCTTCTGACCTTCGATGATCCAGTTCAATCATACTAATAAGCACAAATTACTCTAGACAAACATTCGTGTGTCTTTTTTTATTGCTGAAGTGTTGAAATGTCTTTTTCTGCATTCTACTGTACGGACGTAAATTTACTTTCCCTTCAGCCTGAGGCTTACTCATTTCACTTTTGGTTTGAAAAGGCTTTTATATTTGTCAAAAATTATATTATTTACTATTATAATAGTATTTTAAAAACAAACAAGCAAGCCCTGTCCAGATTTAAAAAGTAACGCAAAAGTAACGTAACACATTACTTTCCATAAAAAGTAACTAAGTAACGTAATTAGTTATTTTTTTTGATGGAGTAACGAAATATTGTAATGCATTACTTTTAAATGTAACTTTCCCCAACACTGGTTACCGACCGCTACCGCGTTTTATTCGGGAATTTAATCCCGCGGCGCAAGAAATCTGGTCGGGTCCATAGACTGTATAGGTCGGGTCATGCAGACCAGGGTTGCCAGGTTTTCACAAGAAGCCCCGCCCAATCACTACTCAAAACTAGCCCAATCGGGTTTCGAGGGGGTCCCCAGTTAAAAATCGCGTTCCAGGGGGGACAATACACGTTTTTTGGCGGGGTTCCCCAGCTAAAATTCGCATTCCAGGGGATAAATATCATGTTATTGGAGGTTTAGATGAAAATAATATCAAAGGCGCCTTTTAACCCGGGGGGCGTTTAGCCCCGTTGTACCGTATTTGAGATACTTTAATCAGATCTTTGATCTTCAAAGGTTAGTTCTGTCATTCACTTGTTAATACAATCAAAATGTGGATGACAACTGCTATACAAGATTATGATGTACATTTAATATCTCAGGGATCCCTAGAATATTTGCTTTTTTAACCCCTTAACTGTCACCCCCCATTTTTTAAAATAGGCATGCAGGTGCACTATCCAAACTTACATTGTTGTAATTTATGAACACTTTGGAATACAGACATAAGGTTGATCTCTTTTTAAAGAAGAAAATCAGCAGATTATCGCAAAAGTGGAATTTAAAAAAAAAAATTAAAGTATCAAAAAGTTATGGTAGTTTAAATTTACTGTAAAGAAAATGCACTATATTAATTTTATTTTATTTTATATATAATAAATATTTTACATAACAGGTTTTACTCTAAAATTGGTGTAAAATTAAAGCCTTATGTCTAAATAAGTTATGTTCCAAATTTGAAGTTGATATGAAAAAAATTGAGGTTCCTGTGAGATTTAGGGCGTTATACCACAAACAGCCATGAGATTTTATTTAGGGCGTTATACCACAAACAGCCACCGGGTGCCATCCAAACTCTATTACATTTTTTATGCATTTTTCTGTAACAAATGTCTAGATTTCTCTGTCAATATTACTTCTATCTGAAAATATCCACCAAATATGGAATCTTTCCAATTATATGTTTTTGTCAAGATTATAAAAAGTTTTGATTGTAAAAGAGCGTAATGCATTTTGTAATATGACACTTGACACCGCCCACTAAGGGGGAGGAGACCGCCAAAAGATTTTAAAGTACCATTTCCATGGTAACACAATGTCCGATTTCAAAATGGTTTTCACAGGATGAATCTTGGGCTTCTAAGCTTTCAAATGATATATGATTTATGATGATTACTAAAAGATTTGATAGAGAAAAAGGACAACAAAAAAAAGAGTGCCAAGCATCCCACAGGTATTATTATTATTACAGTTTTAGCCATTTTATAAACTAAGCCAAATAGCCAGTGATCATTGTGCATTCAAACTGTGTGAAACAAATATTAAACAAATACATTAGTCATGGTTGTTGTCTTTATTACATTGAAATAATAAAAAAAAAATGTTTATATAAGTTAAATATGATTAACAATCTGGTGTCAGATAATACATATTTTGTCTTTAAACTTGCATTATTCAAGGCAAACTATATGCACCAATGATTGTCTTGCAACTTAACAGAATTTGAAACCATCTGAAAATAAAGAAAACGATCAACTTTTTTCAGTTGATTTTGTGGAGTATATTCATTAATCTTGATGAAATATAATAAACAGAATTGTAGCTATTCATAAGAGAAAATTATTCTACTATTCTGTATTTGACTGTGTGTGAGGATTGTGTTTTTCACATAGTGAACTATTTAAAACCGGTTGGAATGCATTTATATTTGGACCCTTTCCATAAATACAGAAGCTAGAAATAAGTGCAGGACATGTTTAGAGAATGATTATCCTTTAGGTGCTCATCTGGTAAAGACCCTGTAAAAATACAGAAGCAGAGGAGTGGTACGTGTATGGAATGTATTGAATATCTTCAAGGCATATGTGAATGCAAAACAAGTGAATGACAGGAACATTGTCTTATTAAAGAAAAACCTGCTTAGTCCAGCCTGACACATTTAGCAAACTAATAGGAGGAAAGATACAAATTATTTACACTCTTAAGTCAAGAATTATTTTCTGTGAAGCTTTAAGCATCATTCAATAGTTCCTTAATCAGTCTGTGAAATCAAAGTCACAAAATGAAACTATATGGTGTTGAGTTTTTGGGTGTAGCACCATATTTTGTTTATGTCACAGAGTTTACTCTTGACTGTTTTATCATGAAAATGTTGCTCACTGTGATGACACATTTTTTCATGTGCTTTTTAAGGCTTTTTAACTGTCTAAAGCTCTTCTCACAGGGAGGGCAGTAGTACGGCTTCTCTCCAGTGTGAACTTGCTCATGAAATTTCAGGTCTCCAGACTGAGTGAAACTCTTGTCACAATATGAGCACTTGTAAGGTTTCTCTCCAGTATGGATTCTTTGGTGCTGTTGCAGATTATCAGCTCTAGTAAATCTCTTCCCACACTCACGACACACATGATCTTTCTCACCGGTGTGTTTTTTCTGGTGCCGTTTACAATGATCCAGCCGAGCAAAACACTTTCCACAAAATGAACATGCATATGGCCTCGCATTTGTGTGAATTTTCGTGTGGTTTTTTAGATGTATTGCTAATTTAAAATCTGTACCACACTGATCACAGGTAAATGGTCTTTCTCCAGAGTGAATGAGCAGATGAAAATTGAGATCACTTCTATATCTGAAACTCTTTCCACACTGAGTACAGTGATATGGCTTCTCTCCAGTGTGAACTCGCTCATGTATTTTCATGGTTCCTGCCTGAGTGAAACTCTTGTCACAATATGAGCACTTGTGAGGTTTTTCTCCAGTATGAATCCTTTTGTGCAGTTTCAAACTGGTAACTTTAGTAAAGCTCTTCCCACAATCCAAACACATGTGATCTCTCACTTCATCATGTGTTTTCTGATGCTGTTTATAAGTGTCCAGTTGTGAAAAACTCTTTCCACACTGAGGGCATGTGTATGGTTTCTCTCCAGTGTGGATTCTCATGTGTCTTTTAAGGTTTCTTTTGTGTGAGAAACTCTTTTCGCACTGTGAGCAGTTGTGCAGCTTTTTGGCTTTTATTCTTTGAGTTTTGAAGTCACAGTGTTTCTCCTCCTCTTCATTCGGTTCTAGTTTTTGCTCTTTCATCTGGTCTAAAATAAACAAGTAAAAATCAGTTTGTGAACCCTGATTTAACAGCAGAAAAAACAGAGATCAGATAATTGTAAAAAGTATCGGATTTCTGATGTGCAAAAGATTAGATCATTATCTTGTGGATGACAACAGTGTTAGGATAATTTAAATGCATTTCTGTATCATTTATCATCCATATACTGATCATAATTTCACAACTAACAAAAACAGTCAGTAATTAAGAACCAAGAACCAACCTGTTTGTTCCTCAGTATCTCCAGTGTGGATTCTCATGTGTCTTTTAAGGATTCCTTTGTGTGAGAAACTCTTTCCACACTGAGAGCAGGTGTGCAGCTTTTTGGCTTTTGTTCTTTGTTCTTCATTCAGTTCTTGTCTTTGCTCTTTCATCTCCATCCAGTCTAAAATAAACAATTTAGAATCAGTTCAAGCAATCCCGGTTTAACAGCAGAAAACATCAGAGATCAGATGTTTGTATAAAGTATCAGATCTTTGATGTGCCAAAGATTAGTGATTATCTTGTTAATTCAGTTAAATGTGGATGACAACAGTGATCATTTGAATTAATTTCTGTATAATTTATCATCCATATACTAATCAAAATTTTACGACTAACAAAAACAGTCAGTAATTAAGAATCAAGAACCAACCTGTTTGTTCCTCAGTATCTTCATGTTTTATTCTGGATGGTTCTGGATCACTCATGTATTCAATCTCCTCTTTAACAAACTCTGTCTTTAAAAGTCACAGATTTCAGCTGCTGCACCTGGAGCTTGTTCTTCTCTTGTAGGATGATGTGAATATTCTCCAGTATTTATAGGTGAATTGTTGTGGGAGGGGCTTCACTGATCATTGTCTGATACTGAGACCCACAGGACCAGATCTGGAGAAATCAAATACAAGTTTCTGAATTTATACTGAACTGCTTCAGTTATGCTGAATTTGAAGTGTACATATTTGCCATTACAAATACAGAGGATTTTGGTACGGCTGTATATTATTAGCATATAAAACAAATGTATAAGAAGCAACTCATGTTTTTGAAATGCGGAATTTTTATAAGAAGCGCCTTAGGCTACACCATTGTATGGAAACCCCAGGGTAGTTTTACTTTAACATCAGATTTATAAATAAATGTTAGAATAAAGAATTTGAGAAGATCTATTCTGATTGAGAGATGGAGCACACAAAGCAGGTATACCCGAGAACCAAGAATGACGCAGACACGAGTGTAGAGTGTAGTTCTATCAAGGTACAAAGCTTTATTGTAAGGGGTACATTATATATGGGAAGTAGAGGAAGTGAAACTGTCAGCTCAGCAAAGTAAAGGAAAAAACTTAGTATAGCCAGTTAAGCAAACCACTATGTCTTATGACCATGATCATGGCTGCATCCTTAGCAGGTATAGAGGGCACAGGACAGGGTGTTCTAGAATCTTACAATAAAATAATCCTACACTCTAAAAAATGCTGGGTTAAATATAACCCAGCGCTGGGTTAAAAAGGGACAAACCCAGCAATTGGGTTGTTTTGACCCAGCGGTTGGGTCAAAACAACCCAACTGCTGGGTCAAAACAACCCAAATAGCTGGGTTTGTCCCTTTTTAACCCAGTGCTGGGTTATATTTAACCCAGCATTTTTTAGTGTAATTTATGCATTCATAGAAATAAATAATTACTTGTGCTCTCTATGTTGGAGGAGTTTTCCATGTGTCTGAACAGTTTGAAAGGAATGCCAGAACATAAACATCAGCCCCGCCCCCACTTGTATGTGCATAGAAATCACCCAATGATAATGTCTGTTTGTAATATAAACAACAAAAGATCGAAATAACAGAGCCATCACGTTTAACTGAGATGCTGAAAAGCCTCTTTGTCTCATTCAAATAGTTCCCTGTTTTCACCTCATTCATTATGATGATGTCTGAGATCTTCTGTAAATTGGCACATTAAGCACATTTGTGACCCGGGACCACAAAACCAGTCATAAGTCACACGGGTATGGGTCAAAATAATAGATTTTTCTTTTATGCCAAAAAATCATTAAGATATTAAATAAAGATCATGTTCAATTAAGATATTTTGTAAATTTACTACCGTAAATATATCAAAACTTAATGTTTGATTAGTAATATAAGAACTTTGGACAACTTTAAAGGTGATATTCTCAATATTTAAATTTTTTTTTTTTTTTTTGCACCCTCAGATTCCAGATTTTCAAATAGTTGTTTCTCGGCCAAATATTGTCCTATCTTAACAGACCATACATCAATGGAAAACGTATTTATTCAGCTTATGATGTATAAATCTCAATTTCAAAAAATTGACCCTTAAGACTGGTTTTGTGGTCCAGGGTCACATTTCATTGTGTGTCAATAGACTAAGACAAACTACAATATTATTAACTATGATATTTCTTTTTATATTGAAATTAGTTTATAAAAGTTAAATATAATTAAACAATAGAATCTAGTGATTCAGATGATACAGGTTTTGTTACTGAACTTATATTGTTCAAATTAAATTATACAACAATGTTTGTCTTGCAACATAATGCAGCCGTTTTAATGGAAATTCTAAACCATCTGTTAATAATGAAAACTTTCTTTAGCAATTTTTATTATTATTGGTTAAAATCTTCCAATTCATGTACAATTTGAGCATATAGAAAACAAGTGAATGTGTTTCATTCAAGCAAAACCTCCAAGTCCAGCCTGATTTTACAAACTAATTACACAGTAGGAAAGATTGAAATGATTAACACTGCGAGAATCATTTTATGGTGAAACTTCAAACATCACTCTATAGTTCCTTAATCAGACTACAAACAAGTCAAAATTCACAAAATGAATGGTTCCTTTGTGCTTTTGGGAGCAACTTCATATTTTGTTTATCTCACAATTTATTTGACTATTTTAACACAAAAATGTTGCTCACTGTGACGATGTGACATTTTTTCAAGTGCCTTTTTAGGCTTTTTAAATATCTAAAACTCTTCTCACAGGGAGGGCAGTAGTACTTCTCTCCAGTATGAACTCGCTCGTGCCTTTTCAGGTTTCCAGAGTGACTAAAACTCTTGTCACAAAATGAGCACTTGTAAGGTTTTTCTCCAGTGTGAATTCTTTGGTGCTGTTTCAGATGGGCAGCTCTAGTAAATCTCTTCCCACACTCACTACACACATGATCTCTCTCACCGGTATGTATTTTCTGGTGCATTTTACAATGATTTAGCCGAGCAAAACTCTTTCCACAAAACAAACATACATAAGGTCTTACATTTCTATGAATTATCATGTGTTTTTTCAGAAATGCTGATGATTTAAAATCTGTACCACATTGATCACAGGTAAATGGCTTTACGCCAGAGTGAACGAGCAGGTGACGGTTGAGACCACTTTTACATCTGAAACTCTTTCCACACTGAGTACAGTAATACGGCTTCTCTCCAGTATGAACTCGCTCATGCTTTTTCAGGTGTTCAGACTGAGTGAAACTCTTGTCACAATATGAGCACTTGTGAGGTTTTTCTCCAGTGTGAACTCTTTGGTGACGTTGCAGAGTGTCAGATCTAGTAAAGCTCTTTGGACACTCACGACACACATGATCTTTCTCACCGGTGTGTATTTTTTGGTGCCGTTTACAGTGATCCAGTTGAGCAAAACTCTCTCCACAAGAAAAACATGCAAAAGGCCTCTCATTTGTGTGAATTTTCATGTGGTTTTTTAGAAGTATTGATAATTTAAAATCTGTACCACACTGATCACAGGTAAATGGCCTTTCTCCAGAGTGAATGAGCAGATGAAAATTTAGATCAGTTTTATCTGTGAAACTCTTTCCACACTGAGTACAGTGATATGGCTTCTCTCCAGTGTGAACTCGCTCATGTATTCTCATGGTTCCTGCCTGAGTGAAACTCTTGTCACAATATGAGCACTTGTGAGGTTTTTCTCCAGTGTGAATCCTTTTGTGCTGCTTCAAACTGGTAACTTTAGTGAAGCTCTTCCCACAATCCAAACACATGTGATCTCTCACTTCATCATGTGTTTTCTGATGCTGTTTATAAGTGTCCAGTTGTGAAAAACTCTTTCCACACTGAGGGCATGTGTATGGTTTCTCTCCAGTGTGGATTCTCATGTGTCTTTTAAGGTTTCTTTTGTGTGAGAAACTCTTTTCGCACTGTGAGCAGTTGTGCAGCTTTTTGGCTTTTATTCTTTGAGTTTTGAAGTCACAGTGTTTCTCCTCCTCTTCATTCGGTTCTAGTTTTTGCTCTTTCATCTGGTCTAAAATAAACAAGTAAAAATCAGTTTGTGAACCCTGATTTAACAGCAGAAAAAACAGAGATCAGATAATTGTAAAAAGTATCGGATTTCTGATGTGCAAAAGATTAGATCATTATCTTGTGGATGACAACAGTGTTAGGATAATTTAAATGCATTTCTGTATCATTTATCATCCATATACTGATCATAATTTCACAACTAACAAAAACAGTCAGTAATTAAGAACCAAGAACCAACCTGTTTGTTCCTCAGTATCTTCATGTTTTATTCTGGATGGTTCTGGATCACTCATGTCTTCAAACTCCTCTTTAATAAACTCCATCTTTAACAGTCACAGATTTCAGCTGCTGCACCTTGGAGCTTGTTCTTCTCTTGTAGGATGATGTGAATATTCTCCAGTATTTATAGGTGAATTGTTGTGGGAGGGGCTTCACTGATCATTGTCTGATACTGAGACCCACAGGACCAGATCTGGAGAAATTAAAATACAGGACTTAATTTATACTGAACTGCTTCAGTTATGCTAAAATTAAATGAACATATTTGCTGTTAGAAATACAGAGTATTTTTCATTATTAGCACATAAAACAGCAAACTCATTTTTATGAAAGGCAGGATATTGAACAGTGAGTTGCATTGTTGAAAGGAAATGCACCCCAGTGTAGTTTTACTTTAGCATCAGATTTAAACATGTACAAATGTATGTTTGTAATATAAATGACAAAATATCAAAATAACTGAGCTGCCATATTTAACTCCGGTGCTATCTCTTTCAAATAGTTCCTTGTTTTCACCTTCATTATGATGATGTCTGAGATCTTCTGTAAATTGGCACATTCAGCACATTTTTCTTGTGTGAATACTCCATTCAGTTCTTGTCTTTGCTCTTTCACTTCTATCTGGTCTAAAATAAACATATTAATACGTTAGAATCATTTCAAGTTGAGTATTAAGTATCAGATCTTT